ACCCCCTTCACGAGGCGAGAGGATTGCATTACCGGCGCAACTCTCCCGGCTCTCTATACAGCAAGGCTTGCTGCAGCCTTTCCTGCCGGTGTCTAAGACGCCCTGCAGGTGTGTCCAGCATCCAGAAAACAAAAGCAACAGCTAGAGAGCATCTTGCAGCCATTTCCACCAAAGTACTACACGGAAGTTCCGGGAAAGACTGATGTGCTGCTGCATCGAATCGAGACTGGCGAAGCTCGACCAACTGCGGTGCAACCCAAAGCCCCTCATCGTCCATGTACGAGCTCTCCTGAATGCAGCACTACAGGAGTGGATCGACACCGGAGCTGTTTGCAACTCCCCTAGTCATTGGGCTTCTCCCGTCACAGCCCCAACGCTGTCACGGTGAGAGATTCATACCAGTTTCCCTTGATCGACTTGATCATGTACGCGATCAAAAACACGAAAGTGTTCACAACGCTTGACTGCAGTCTAGGATAATCGAGATAGACCCAGAGGAGGTTTCGACAACCGCTTTCACCTGTTACAGCGGAGTGTTCGAGCCTTTCAAATTTGCCGGATACCTTTCATCATCGAATGGACATTGGTGTCGATGATACAAAGAGCAAGTTTGTGATGGCGTACATGAATGGCGTCATTTTCCCCAATCTTTCAAGAAATACCTCGAACATTTTATGATTGCTCGCGAGCAAATGCAATATGCCAACTTGACAGTTCACCCTGAAAAGAAAATGAACCTTCTTGGCTTTGCTGTTAACTCGAGTTTTTCACCCCAATCGGGACATGATGTGCACAATAACCAATTGCCCGCAGCCGCAAGACGTCAAGAGCTTGCAATGCCTTCTAGAATTGATTGGATGTAATTGCCAACTCGTCCCACACTGCGCCAGGATAGCTAACCCTTTGCATTTGCTTTTGTGCAAAAGAGAAAATTGGCATTGGAGACAAAAGCAACAAGACGCTTTTCCTTGGCTCTCGAAGGCAATCATCGACTTTGCTTCGTTAGTTTCCGGGTCTCTTTAACCCGTTTGTTGATCAAACTGCTGCCAGCGACTCTGGCCTTGGTGCAGTCCTGCTTCAGGAACACAACGGTGTTCTTCGGCCAGTTACCTTCACCAGCCGCATGCCGACAGCGGCCAAACACTACTATTATGCAATGCAAAGGAGTGTCTCGCCATTATTTTTGCCCTAAAAAAATTTAACATGTATCTCAATGGCACATACTTTCAAATTCAGACAAATCAAGTGTTCTCCTGGCCGAATAATTTGCGGAATCTAGTCGGACGTCTTGCACAATGAGCTCCGACATCGCAGGCATACCACTAAGCCACTATATACAAGGAGGGAGTTTTGTTGCGGCAGATGTGCTCTCGTATGGTCCTTTGCAGGTCCTTCCCCCTCAGGACGAAGATGCATTGGTGCGAATAACTGGCATTGTGGCCGACTGATGTTGGGGAGCTCCGTCTACAGGTGTGTGAGAAGCTTGCAAAACAAAGGGTAGGCCGCACCGAGAGCAACGGTCGGTACGACTCATATTTGCTGAGAGAGAATGGACTTCTTCTCAGCTACATTATTCAAGCAGACGATGCCGCCCATGGCTCGCCTTTCAGGATTGTGAAACTTCGAACGCCGTTCATCAGTCACTTCCATGATTCAGCCTCATCAGGTCATAGCGGCAGCATTACTTGCAATAAGTAACGTCATGTCGAGACTTGATCAGGAATCAGGCAGGATGTACGAAGTATGCCCACACTTGCCCAGGATGTCAGAAGTCAAAGCCACGCGAAGGTCTCCTACCAGGATTTAGTCAACCAATCGGAAGCCACTCTCCTTGGCAGATTGTTTCCTGCGACTTGTAATGGGATTGTTTCCTCATAATCCGTACAGTAATCAGTATCTTCCTGTCGTGATTGATCACTTCACGAAATTGGTTGAATTGTTTCCTTCACAGAAGCTTCTTTCGCAAAAAATCTGGAATCACCTTCTTGCCGTCCATACCAGATTCCGCTTTCTTACAGAGCTCATGGTGGATCATATTTCCGAAGCAAGGTTGTCTCGACATTTGTGCTGTGCTTGGCATACAGTACAAGCTCACTTCTTTGCAGCGTTTATAATCTGTTGTGCAGACTAGCTGTTCGTTGGCAGATGCATCACATGCGCAGCGAAAGGGAACATAAAAGCAGCATAATATATTATTGGTTTTCCAGGGAAACGAACACGAGACGTGTACACTTGAGAGTATAGAATATTGCTCCTTGCATCTGATCTGATCAGTGTGGTCATTGCTTCAGTTTATGTGGTTAATTAAAGTGGTGTTTTTTTTCTTACATTCAGTCAATGGATATTGTTTCAGGTGCTTCTGGTATGCTGCCTATAGGCAGTGGATGCTATGGTTGTGACTGCGACTGGGGCAGAGCAACAGGCGACCACTTGTCTGCATGGTGAAAACAATGGGGGACTGACCGCCAGCGACACATTTCCCGGGTTCCTGTGCCCCGATTGTGCGACTGAATAAAAGTGTTTTTGTTATACTGGGTATAGAACCATGGTTTTCTCACCACAAAAGTAAACATTGCATCGTCCAATGGTCGGTCTTCACACAAATGTATTGTTAGCCGTGAGAGCCAAGTGACAACTTACTATTGCCCACTTCAAAGTTATAGTCGATTTGCATAACTTCTCACCAAGAACACTCGGGGTTTTGTTAGCTGCCATCTTCGCGGCGCTTCTGTGCAAATATTTCCATACTCCGTTTCACCTTACAACTGGCTGCAGCGGACGCTATGAGCTATTGGAGCCAATGGGCAATAAGTAAAATAGCAGTGCCCCTAGCGGTTCAGGTGCACTCTGGGCGCAGGAGAGGGGGGATCGGTGGCCGAGTGGTCTAGCGCACACCAGCTCGGAGCACGTGGAGCGAAAGCTCGCGCTGCAGACCCCAGGGATCCTATGTTCGAGCCCCACCCCTGCCCGTTTCGATCTGGATGAGCATCGTACCGGCGTGCGGTCGTTTATCACTACTGCGTGATGCATATTAAAGACCCCAGGCTAGCGGTTGTACCGCACTGGCTAAATTTCTCATCTACAGCTGGGAGACTCGTCGCCCCTGTGAGGCAGACCAAGTTCTAGGCTGTATAAACATACACACAACCCAATTTGGGCGCAGGAGACTGTCAATAGGTAGTTTTGGTTTCACCGGGTTGTAAATCTGTCGTCTGCTATCGTCTCCACATTGCCATTATGTCGTTGTGGATTGCTCCACACTTGTGAACGATGCACTAAGTGCCCTTTTCTTGTCGCCACAAATCTGACACGGCGAATAATGAAACAATTTATTTTGGTGGCACGGGTTTTGAGCGAGAACATTCCAACGGCGAACTGAGGTGAACGTAGAGCGACGTACACCGAATGCTGTGCCAGCTCGCTGCGTGCATTTGTTTGCCACCTCGAAAACATCCACTGAGACTAGCACTCATTTGATAACACTTTTGCTTCGCCAATCTCTATTTGCAATTGGGCAAACACAATACATGACGAAGCTCGCTGTACGAGAACGTTCAAGCACAAACTTGCGCCCTTTGCTTTGTTGCTGTGTGAAAATTGGCCGCGGAAACAAGGGTGTTATAGAAACAAAGTACTAGTCTCAGTGGCTGTTCTCAAGGTTGCAAACCAATGCACGCGGTAAGCTGGCATGGCATTCAATCTGCATTCACTTGACTTCACCGCTATGGTGTTTTTGCTCGTCCCCCGTGTCAGAAAAAATCCTAATTGTTTCGTTATTCGCTGCGATTGATATGTAGCAACGAGAAAAAAAGGGTACTTACTGCTGCGTGCGCAAGTGTGGAGCATCCACAACAACATGAGCAATGGTGGTGCGAAGACAATAGCACAACAGATGCCCGACCCAGTGAAACCGAAACTACCCATTGACAGTCTCTTGCTCCCAGAGTGCACCTGAACCACTGGGGACACTGTTTTTTTGCATATTGCCCATTCATAGCTGTTCATGACCTCCAAGAGGAAGCACATTTTTTTTAAGATGGTTTGTTTTGGGTGACTCGATGAATTTTGTGAATTGCAGATTATCTTGAAACAGCGAGACTAGATACTAGTGAGGGGCCTAACTTTTTGCCGAATCGAAAATTCGGTGCCGAATCTTAGGATTTAACAGAACTGAATTTTCGCCTATCTTTTTTAAACATTCGGTAACAATATTCTGTTGCCAAACCTAAAAGTTGATATTTTGTATTTCAGGGAAAAAAGGTTTAGGTTTCTTTTTAAATGCATATTGACACAGTTATTACTAAATGAGGTAATATTCTGCAAGATGTCATTTTTGCAAGTTTACTGGCAATTTTACAGTGACTTTTTTCAGAAGTGGTGTGACACCAAGGTTGGGTAGTAGCCATCACAGCACTATATAGCCCCTCAGAGCAGAACAACACAATCCTTTGAATCCGGCTGTTTTACCGACAACATAACCGACAGCAGCTCGCCGCGAGTCACGTGGTACCGTTTATTAAAACATAAACTCCAAGTTCACACTTTTCGAAACTAGTCTGTCGTGAGGTTTGCAGAGCCACATTGGCTGGGAAGGCTCGTACACTACACTGTTTAGGAGCAAGGTTTGTTATTGCTTTTTCAATGCACATACGAGCTACCCAGTAAATGAATAACTGACATTTCTTTCAGTGGTTGAAATCAAACCTTTTTGCCAAGGCACAAAGGAGAATGGTGGGGACATAGGCAAATGCTGAGTGCGCATGTCTTGGCATCTGCAACAGTTACTCTTGCAGATGCCGTGTGTAAATGCACTTCCAGCATGCTTCTTGGTGCTTGGCAAAAGTTCTACTGTCCGAACAAACCTCTGCATAATCATTCGGCTTTGGCTAAAACTATTTTCATTTGTTTCCTCAAAGGTTAGCAAGGCATGAACCCGTGAATTACCGAGAAGAGACAATGTTGCAGATGAGAGGGGAAACCGTAGTGTAGTTTGGAAAATACGTTTAGCTTTGTAAGTCTGAATGGCATCGAACTTGTGTTAAATGTTTGTGCTCTCATGCACAGTTGCCCGGGTTTGGTTTATACAGTTCCAGTCTACCTCCTCGATGAAAGCCCCATTTATTAAAGACCAACAGGAGAGCTGCTTTGCCAAGGTGTAGCCTCTTCAGGATGTCTGTGGCAGCACATGAAAAGAAAAGTCAATGCAGTATTACGCGCGAGGCACATAAAAAAAATATGCGGAGAGCATGTATTTCATTACTCGTCTGTGGCGCATCGGAACACAAGGAGGGGCACACAAGCAACGGATAGCATAAAAGGCATGAGGAACACATGATGACGAAGCAAGCAAGCACTGTCACTGGGCAAAATTAAAGGGGGCACAAGCATGTGGACACATGCGGAGGGAGGGTAAACAAATGCACAAGGCGTGCAAAGATCAGACAAACTTCTAAGTTCAAGGCGCACATACGCATAGCTTACCTCTTGAAACCTTTAGCAGGGTTGGATGGAGAGTATGTCGCCTCAGAGTCTGGCATGATGCTGGGAGCAGGAAATATGCAGTTGTATGGCACCTCGCTGCTGCAGTAGGGGACGGCAGAGTCGAAAGTATCCAACGGTACTGGCTCCTCCACGACCAGGGAGATTCATCTCGACAGCGCAGTCCCTTAGGATCCTTTATGCCTTGCAGGATGCAGCAGTCTAGCTGCTGAGACTAGGACCTGCAAATAGCACTTTTATACTACAATGTTTTTCACAATGCCTGGTTTCTAACACTTAGAAGAATGGAGAGTCGGGCGAGTTGGTTGGAATTCATCGTAGGGAACAGCAAAAACAGACGAGGACGTAGAAGAATCATACGGGACGAGCGCTGCGCTCGTCCCGTGTGGCTCGCGCACTGGCCGTTCAATGCGCGAGCCACTCCTGAAAACCCGCACGGCAAGCACAGGCACATTCGTTCGTTTCGCCGCGCTTTGGCTGCGCATAGACGCTCTAAGCTCGCGAACGAAGCGTGTTCTCAGTTATGAAGCTGGAAACGGCAGGCCGGGATTGCTTGTGAGATGTGGCAGCTGTTTGAGAAAACAGAGCCGTGCATTCTGGTCCAAGTAAATAAACTGCACCGCAGAACACGACGACAATGAGTGTGCAGGCGAGCTGGTAGATGCTGATCATGTTCAAAATTACCCGAGTCTGTGGTAAAAGAGAGAAAACCTAGGTCCTAAAAGAAAAAAAAAATCGTGACGTTTTTAGGTTTAGGTGGACATCGGCTCCATTCCGGTATGGGCAGCATTGCCTTTTGTGACCCTGTACGCTTGGATAATCCTTCCCCACTGAGTACAAATAAAGTATTAGTATCCTTTTGATTCAGGTAACGTCATGCTCGCAAACTTTCGCATTCTGTCGCCATCACTAGTGTCTCAGCGATATTCAGCTTTCTACGATGCGCAGTTTATTTACGCGGATCGAAAAACACGGTTCTCTTCTACAAAACACCCTTCGAATACGTATGTCACGCAGACTGCTGCACAATGCGACGTTGAAACTCCCAAAAATCACCAAACACTTACCAGGACTTTTTCGCGGGTTCCTCGCTCGGTCCCGTCGGCGACGGTAAGCAGGAGCGTCGGTACAGCAGACTGGTGGCGTCCACAACTACGGTCACCGCTGGCGAACGCCTCGAAGGTGTCCGCACGGAAACGAGGAATGTGGAGGAGGTCCTCGGTGGCCGTTTTCTTGCCCGGTGCAACGTAACCATTCGCGTCTTCGCGAACCTTGCTTCGAGAACGGGATGAAGTGGGAGCATCGGGAAGAAACCCGGCAGACGACGTAGTTGCGACGGAGCGAAGCAGCCGACGCAGCCGCGTCGCCGCGCGGGCACATCACTCCCGCGTAACAAGGCAAGGAGAAAACATAGTTCGCTCGTTTTCAATCAATAATAGCTGCATTACGTCACCTAGACCCTAAGATTTGACGTGGTTGTCAAAATATAATGTGCATGTGTCTAAAAAAAGCAATATTAGTAACCTCGGAATCTCCACGAAATTAACAATTTTTATTGGTTAATTTTATGGCGGTGGTGGTGACACAGGATGGACTCCCCAAGAGGAAAGAGTGCCTGCGTATTTCTTTTGCTGCGAGTTTATTTCGGCGTCTTGCCGTCTATAACTGGTCATTTTCATTGACTGAAGCCCAACAAACAATATGCTTTCAAAAACAAACTTCTCCAAAAAGCACTTGAGTGCCCCTTTAACAAGAAACTGAAGCTGTTCTGTATTTGAGGAAGAACACCAAAATCGTCTTGATATGGCCTCCAGGATCACGAATATCAAGTTTATTTTTTCAATCTGGTGCATGGAGGCTGCAGAAATTAATTTCTAAAGTACAGCTGAAGCCCCTCCTTCCCGGGGCGTGACGTCATGCTGGGAGGTTTCGGAATTTCTGCTCTCGCTCATCTTCAGCTACTGTCAAACCTATGCACGTGAACTCTTGAATTTGTAAAAAGGTCAGAAATAGACGCCACAACTGGCGTCAGTGTGGAAAAATACAACTGGCAAGCTTGCAATTGCACGCGCCGCCCACACGAGCGACACGTGCTTGGCGCCCCAAAGATCCTAGTACGACGTCACGACTGCTCTGAGGTTTTTCGTGTTTTCTCGCGTCTAGTTACACCTTCGGAGAAAACGAAAGCGATATTCAGATTCACAGGACAAAAATAAGCCAGAAGTCACCTATAACTCGTTTTTTTGTCAAAAAGCGTTTCAGTTTCCCTTTAATTGTCAACATATTTCAAAGATTGTGCTTGTCTATTGTGCTCCAATAGAGATACCATCAATTTAATAGCTAGTAAAGAATATGCATTACCGATGACCACCTTACACATCATGGCGTCCTTGAACCTTGACTTTCCTTGGTAGCCCAGAAGGGCCGGAGAACTGCTCCTGGACTTGCTTTGAGAACAGGCGTCCCACCATCTCTCGTAGCACCTTCTGCAGGTTCTTGCTGTCTCCTAGAGACACGAGCTGCTCCTCCTAGAAAGACAAAATGTGTTCTCAATATGTCAATAAAGTTATTTATATGCAGATACAATGGTATGAACATGTCTCAAGTAAGAGAATGTGAATTCCCAGGTAAATGCAGCAAGCCACACTATACACGCATCAAAATGTTACAATATTTACTAGAGAGAGAATAAAAAATATTAGAATATATGGCATCTCTACCTGTCTTAGACGAAACCAGAAAGATTAAAATATTCCCCTCCATACTCTGCTAAATCTCATTAGTCAGTCAAATTCGTTGCAACGTTCAAATTGTGCAAACGTTTTGATGGATCCTCTTTGCCCATCAGCATCCACTCAGTAATTTTAATAATGTATGTGGTTCTCAAAACAGTGCATTCAAGACCCTGCGCATCTTGACTTTGTTAAAGCTTAGTCTAGCTGCCGGCTAGTCACCCTACAAATTTATCACCTATTTTACGACTTTACGAAGACTGGAATGGAAAAAGGCATAAAAAGGCAGGAATTGACCAAAACCGTCATCATAGTTGCAAAAAATGGCAACAGCAGCACAGTATGAGTAGTTACCTTTCCATATTTTTGTTTAGTGCTGACTCAGTTGTGGCCCTGTAGGCCAATGAACCAACTTACTCAGCTCAAGCTCGCCTTGTGTAATAATCGCTTGTGCGACTACCGTATGCTATGCCTGGAGACACAGCTACGCATGCACTCACACCCCCTGAATAAAGTGGCGGATGCAATGACAGTTACTCTTTCACCTTGGAAAATTTGATTTCCTCTCATAGGGTGACCTTCGGTTAGGACTGGTAACATCTCATTTTGGAAATGCACTACTAATGTAAAGTAAAGATGGAATTAATTAAGATTTATCTGGCAACCCCTTACAAATTTGTTTGGGCATACGCATACGGTGGGCACGCTCAAAAGCGATTTTAGACCAGGCTAAAAGTTATTTTCAAGCATGTACCTTTACTTCTGTAGCAGATGCCGAAAGCACAAATGAATTTATTGCCCTAAATATTTAGATCTCTTGATTATAGCCTCAAGTGAGAACAGGAACAAAACCAAAAGAAGCCCAATATATACTACAGCATCTCGATCCTTCTGTCAAGCAAGCATTAAACACAAAAAGCATGCAGGCAGGTTTGTGCGTGCTCCGCACACATACTCACGGCAAGAGTTGTTGCAGGTGCGGAATTTAACTTCTAAGGATAAAACGGGCAGAAGTGTCGTAGCAAATCAGCATGATTTATGATTATTTGCAGGCCGACATATTGTAAGCACCCAAAGGCAAATATGTTGGGCGATTTTACTTCCCCCGTTGTGAAATGTTTTACTTAAAAATATTTCAAGAAGTCGCAGTTGAAAAAGACATAAAATGCCGTTCAATGAGGATGCACATGAAGGCCTTTTGTCTACACGACCTTCGGGTGGAAAGAACTGTTCAAAAATGTAATGAAGCACAAATATTTAATTTTTGGTGGCCACCGTCCATCATTTCTCCCTTCAGTAGCCTCTATGAAACGCAGTTTAACAATTGCAAAAAGTTTACGCAGGCTACTAAAGCTTACTTCCAAACGTGCAACTGGCGTTGCGTCACCTTGACACAATTCTATCGCACGATTCAGTTTAAGGGTACCCCTTACAATAAATAGCCTTCCATTGTGCATTGGCTGTGCATGCACTCTGCTGTTATGAATAACAGAAGGACCGTAATGAAGGTAGGGCAACTTACTCATTTTTAATTTGCCACCGACCGTGCTTAAAACATAGTTTGGGTGGGCATCCATTTGAAATATTACGGTAAAAGGCTTCAGTCCACATTCCAACCCCATTTGCATAAATCTTCAGATAACCCAAGTTAAACCACAAAGTAAGAATCGCAGCCTTATGCCCGTCAATATTGTGAAAAAGAGGACACATAAATACCGGCAGTGTCCTGTTGGTGAAATTCTTCAGCTGTGCTTCTGCAGCACTAAGCTGTTCCATGTTGCGGAGAGGCATCAGGAACAGCTCGGGTGGTTCAGGCCTGGACAGTTCCTGGGGCGTCGCCTGTTCCCCGGGCCTCGCCTGCTCTCCCTGGTGCTTGAAAGACACCACGTGCCCAAGCACCTGCCCAACAGACTTGCAGTTCCCTGTTCTGCTGCTGTAGGTGCCCATTCTGGATGTGCAGGTCTATCACGGCCTAAGCAGCTGAGCGTCGAAGGCTGCAAGATAACCAAGGCATAAGAAAGCATTATCCATTTTGCTGATCAACATTATGCACTGATGATGCGAAGAAACTTTTTCAGAAACTTGGGTTTCGGGAAGTTTCAGAAGAACGCTTGAACCTTCAGGTGTTTCGGATGGTTTGGGTAGCTTTGGAACGGTTGCCAGACACAATGAGTGTTTCAAATTTTTGTAAAAATTTAAGAGACATTATTATTTGTATGCAATATCTATAAATTTAATTTAAAAAAATGTGTTAATCAAATAAACTTTCTGAAAAGGAGACACAGCCTTAATTTTCAGAACTTCACAGTTTTGGCTTGTACGGTCAAAATGAATGCTTCAACAAAGTTTTATGATGTTTTTTGACAATCAAAGGAAATAACAATACTGATTTGTCGGCGACGCACGCGAGACGCGCTGCGCTTGGCTGCGATAAGCACCAGTTTAAAAATCTGTAATATAGGTCCGTGCCTATTAGGCCTAGCTTGGTGCCTGTACCCTTGTTGGAACTGCCATTTTCTGGGCTTTCAGGACGGCCTTTTTTTTAACTATGAACCGTCTAAGAATGGGAGAGAATCCCGTTAAGAACACTTGCCCTGGTATAGAAAACGAAATTGGCTGCAAGCGGCTGCTCTGTGGTCACGATACCTCGCACCTAGGCATATGACGCTTTAGAATGAATTGGCACTTCCAAGTAAAGCACAGGTCATCAATTGCGCCCCTTGTTAAATAGCAGAAGTTCCCAATGCAACTTTTTTTTTCTATCGTTTCACTTGCAGCATACAGCGTGCAACAGATGGTCCACCTTTCTTCGGTTCTGGTAGCAGACGACGCAACGGCGTCTTGTTTCCCGCAGCAAATGACACTCTAGAGCAGACAAGCCCTCCCTCTTTACTCACGTTAGCATGCGACGTGTCTGTTAAAGAAAGGTCAGCTCCCTCAGTACAAGCCTGCCGAGATCTCAATCTGACAAAACACCAAAATCGGGCCATTAATACATTTCAAGGTACAAACAGAAGCTGCACAGCACGGCGCCGAAGCGAACGTGCTGCACCTAAAAACAAGCCTCTACGCTGTCCATCGAACCTCTCCAGAGCAGGACAGCACCACGGCCGTTCTTGGCAGCATGCAATGCTTTCCTACAGCATTACGAGAAAGTTTTGTGACCAGTAGCGTATTGAAGGACTCTGTCACTACTGTAACTGTGCATGTGTCACTACGAAGATTATGGAGCTAACTAAATTGAGCAACTGCACGCAAGCTAATCTGGTCAAGCATGCTAACAGAGGGCAGATCAAAAACGTGTGCTAGCACATTATCAGGACTCTAGGTGAAAAGGAACAGTACAAAATAATACTTACTGCATTTCTGCAAACTCGATGCTCTGAACGAAGGCCAGTCAGGGTCTGGTGCTCGGCCCGCTCGCACACGAGACAAGATGTCCGCCCCAAACATTTTGCTTGGCCTCACGCCGTTGTTTCTTACTCACGTCGAACCACAACAGAGGGACGGGCGCCACCGTTATTTCGTCATTCTCTCCGATGAACAGTACTCCTCCTCACTAGAATAAAAGGCGTGGTCAGACATGATGTTCATTCAAGTTACTTCACACTGTCATGTCTTCGCAACCTTTAGCATATATTATAATAACTCCATGGCTATATGCACGGCCACAATGAAACACGACGGTGTCGCATTCCGGTAACGCCAAGTAATAAAAGTAGCAGTAAAAGGGAAAAACGGTGCTCATTTCGCTTAAAAGTCTGTTTACACCATGCTTTGTAGCTTTTTACTTGCAACGGTTTCGTGATACCGA